TAAGTGCGTTTCTATTAATTATCAGATCAATGATCGACATCGTGAAACATAGGTTTCTCAACTTGTGTAAAATGTAAGCAAATCATGACCACATGTTTTTTGTAATTGTACTGAACAGTTCGACCCTAGAAAATACCGTTCTCGATAATGCGGCCAATAATTCATCCGCATGCACCCTGTGCTGATTAGATTAACGTTGTTTTTTTTGTTTTATTTAAAACTGGCCAGTTGTAATATTTTTATGCGACACCCTTGATCTAATTTCATAATACCGGTACGGGAACGGATCAACTTCTGGTCGATATAACATGGGGCGAGATTGTCACTTCGACGTTAGCGCACTTGAGAAATACGTCATTAAAATGTGATTACGCTGATATGGAGATCAAACTTGAAAGTCCGATGCTGGAAAATCAGATGCAGATGTTTTCAGATAAGTGCATTAAAAATTTAATTCAAAATGTGTATATTATGATTATAAATTATAATTTATTGAGGAACTATGATTTTTTTATTGTTTTTATTTGAGCAAATCAACATCAGAAAGTCTGAAATCATAAACTGAAAATGATATATTTATTTTTAACATGAGTTTTTGACAATGAATAATCTTGTCACATAACAGGCATAACTGGTAGACATGTAAAAAAATATTGAGTTGTGTGAATGGTTATTTGGTGAAAATAATAAGTCGCCGGTTTTTAATCTTCAGGGGAAAAAAAAAGGGGGAGGGTAATTAATTTGATTCCAAATGGCTTCCAATGTACTGTATAAACATGCAATAATATTTCTATTGAATTTATTGCTTCAAAACGTCTTGAACAATCGATTCTTTGTGGATTTTTTTTTTACTTTTAGGGGATTTAATGATTTTAAAATGGAGCTGCCAACTTTGATAGTAAACAGATTTCATGCAGATTCCAGTTACCTTTACTCAGCAGTACTAGTTGGAAGTACAGAGACAGCAAATTTAATTACAGAAAGGAGAAGAACTTAACATGTATCCTTTATATCTGATTTTTATTAAGCCAAAATTAATATATTGTTTGTTTCCCCAATCCCGACACCGCCAAGCCAGGTGTGGGTAGGTAGGTAGGGAAATAATTTTATTTTTTCCAAAAAGCTGGAACAATATCAGTCGATCTGGCAAGCCTGAAAATTGGAACTGAATAAAATAATATTTGACTTAGTCTTAGTTTTGACAATAAAATTTTATGAGTCGGACCCTTTTTTGCAGGGTCGTTAAGGATTGGGGAAACAGACAATATTTTATTTTAGGCCTTATAATATTTGAAACTGAACAGCGAGAATCGTTAAGCCATGGTGAACAATGTGTATCTAAATACAATTATTGAAATAAGACAATGAAATGCTTAAGGGTATTAGTGAACATGAGGAGGAGGGGGTGGGGAAGGGAACCATTTTGATTGGTAATTTAACAATCTAAGCAGCCATTAAAAATGGCCAACAAATTTGCTAGTAGTAAGTACTAGTATCTAATTTTGATGGGAGTTTAAGGATCTGACATTAAAATAAATACAAGTCAATTTTTTTTAATGGGAACTTGACAGCCATTTAAATAAGCTATTAAACACAGTGATCGGGAAGGACGTCCGCCTTGTGCCAATTGCCCTTTTCGACCAGAAATGGCGCATAGAGTGACAAATGTAAGCGCCCACGTCATGCACGTGGCGCACGATATTTTCCACTCCGTTTTGAAACATTTGATATCGTAAAATGGATTTCCGATTGTGTTTCGTGTCGCCATGTGTATGTACAAAACTGTGTAGTGTTACCGCCAATGATAGGAGCACCGCCTATATATATTTTTGGGACATCTCGGGTGTAAACATATTTTGGATTATATCTTTTGGTAAGTACAATGTATTAGAATTTCCACAATTTTGAATATATGTGCATGCTCTTTTAGTTCAAAGTAGTGACATTTAAAGTGTTTTATTAACTTTTAAGAGTCAAGAAAAAAAGAAGGTCATAGATTTATAAAAAGTATTAATAAGAAGATGTGGTATGCTTGCCAATGAGACAACTCTCCACAAGAGACCAAATGACACAAAAAATATGCATATACATATCATAAAATTGTGTAGGACATGAGTCATATTTTGTATCATTTTAAAACATTATTTTTTTAATAAAATAGTCATGATAGTACTTCTGAAAAAGTAATTTTGCTATAAAATTAGAGATCTGTGGTGTGACTGACAGTGACAATATGACATTTATATATCCACAAATGGTAAAATAATATATCTTTATATATACATGTATAGTATATACACTACCCACCAAAAGTATGATATAAAACAGGGGCAAGACCCATTATGTTATAGTACAATGATTATGAAAAACAAATATTAAACAAAAAATTATAATGATGATAATTTAGTACTGACATGAGGTTTAATGTATTGTACAGTTATATATCAGCTGCTGAACCAGGGTGGCAATTAAGTCAACATTAGGAGTAAGACTTATAAAACTTCTATGCAATAAGTTATGTAGCTCTAAAGCTCAGAAAGGGGGAGCCCCCCTTTCCTTAATCCACCTCTGAATATTAAATTTCTAGAAGGATTTGACACTCTTAGAAATTGACCCTGCAAGTGACACATTAATACAAATCTTTTCAAAAAGTGTTATTTTCATTTCATAATTTCAGAATTGACAACAAATGTAACTAACTAACTTTATATCTGTACAAATTCTTTTACTTTTATTTTGCAGAATTTGCCATCAACAAATTCAACTTTAAGGACAGCAAGTTCAATGGGACAATGAACGAAAAGATACACACATGTAACAGGACTACCTATAGACGACAGAGAACAAATATTGTTTTATTAAATCACAGAAAATGCCATAAATGGAAAGATTTTCTAAAGACATTCTCCTTACTCATCCATCAAATTCCATCTGATGGTCAATTCTCCATCAAGTTTCCATGCATTTTACATGTAATGGAAACATTCCATTGGTTTTCCATCTGATAGCAAAATTACCATCAGTTTTCCATCAGATGGCAAAAATACCATCAATTATCCATCAGATGGCAAAAATACCATCAATTCTCCATCAGATGGAAATTATGCCATCAATTTTCCATCATCATGAACACAAATTCCATCAAACCTTTTCCATCAACCATTTTCCAGCATTGATGGAAAGTTGATGGAAAGTTGTTCCAATACTCCATCAACATGATGGAATGTGATGGCATTTTTTCCATCACAAAATTCCATCATGTTTGATGGAAAATCTAGGGAAGGGTAGATTTCATCAAAAATTGAAATCTTGCAATTGGGGTTCTTTGATATGCTGATTCTATGTAATCTATGTATTTAGATGTTGGATATTGGACCATAATAGGTACATGTCCAATTTCAAATTATTTCAGTACTTAGACCACATCCATTCTTTGTCAGAAACTATGCTATGTCAAATATTAAACAGAATCCAAATTCAAGAGATGTATTGCACAATTAATAGAAATTGTAAGTTGAGTCATAGTTAAAAGTAGATACAGCATCAAATCTAATTTTAGAGAAGAAATTATGTATAAATATAGTTTGAAATTTACTGTTCATTATTAGATATTTTGAAAAATAATTAGAGGTAAGTTTTATAGATTTTTTAAAGACTTTGTATTAATGAGGAACGATGATATTTTGGAAATTTATTTTTCATTTTTTTAAGAACTTTGTTGTAGGTTTGTTTGTTATTCTGTATTGATTAATTTTCAGAATGCTATATATATTTTTTTTGATGAAGCAAACCCCTTTGAAAACTTAGCTATTATTGTATATTTATAAATGAATAAATATTCAATAAATATAATTAAATTCTTGGTGTACTTGGATATGCTGAATCTAACCAAGTATTTAGATTTTGGATATTGGACCATAATAGGAACAAGTCCAATTTCAGTTTTTTAACCACATTCATTCTGTGTCAGAAACCTATGCTGTATCAAATATTAAATCACAATCCAAGGTCAGAGCTGTATCAAGCTTGAATGTAGAGTCTGTAATTGCCCCACCTGTTGAAGTGTTCAGGGTTGACCTCTGCGGTCGTATCAAGCTGCACCTGAAGGAGCTTTTTTTTAGCAAGAAATAGCCTGGAAAACCTTGTTTGTAAATGCCAGAGACACAATTTCCCTTTATGGTGAAACATTATGTCAGAATATATTCCTAATGCAAAATTGTTATGCAGATATCCTGCTGTATATCAAATTTATTGACGATAAAAAAGTTAACAGTATTCATTTGCTTTAAATTTTATGCCCTACAGTAGGTTTGTTGTGCTTAAGGATGTTTGCTACTTTATTTCAAAATAACAAGCTTTTAAAAAGACTGTTATAAATTGATAGTATATAAATAAATGAACTAAAAAAGCATAAAAAAATGAAGGGTCTGTGTGTGCTTGTTTTCGAGATATAAGACCTAGAAAATTTGGTGGGAAATGATTCTCTCTAGATTTTTCATGCATTTAACATTGGCACCTTTTTTCTTTCAAAAACTAAGCAAAAACATAACCAGGATTTTATAATATTTTCAAATATGGCATTTTAAACAATATGTATGAATCAAATTTTGAAAAGAAAAGTGTGGTTAGCGGGCAAAATTTTTTAATGGCTTTACATGGATAAAACTAGAGGATTCCGAATATCTTGCAAAAATTCAAAAACAAGAGGAGCGAACATCCTTAAATATACAGCATGTTTGTTTTCCTTTGTAAATAGTAACAAAATTTAAAATTCACATAGCCAATTTGAAGACATTAGTGATTTTCCGTGAATTTTTTATTCTTATTATCAACAGCAACATCATGGAAACAACGCATAAAATTTGGATGCATTATCTGCTCTTGCTACTGTATCTTATGAACTTAACACAATACAATTTTCAATTATAAGTTCATGATGTAAAATGAAAGCAATTTTTCAACCCTCTCAGTGCTCATAATCAATTTGATTTTCCTTTCAGACTCAACACCGTGTATATAACACAGATTCTCGAAGAAATAGTGTGATGGAGGATCAAGTTGCAGATCCAAGTAGAAGTTTTACCTCTCAACAACTACCTTATGACAAGTAAGGTTTTAATGTTGCAATCTAAATGTTTCAGAATCTAAACGACTATGGGTAAACTCATTGGTTGAATTTCCATTGTTTTGGATGTTTTCAACCAATCATAATGATTTAGTGTACATGTTTGAAAATATTACCCAGAATGCATTAGATTCTGAAATGGTGAATTGTTTTCCTTCATTTTGTAACATTGTGTGTGTATGTCTTGTGTTTGCTGTTTACTAGAAGTATATAAAAATAGAAACCCATCATTTATATGATTTGCCTATGTAATTTTTATGCCCCCACCGTATTGGAGGGGGCATTAAGTTTTACCCTTGTCCGTCTGTACGTCCATACGTTCCAAAGTAGGGATCTGTTCTCTAACTTAAGTTTGCCTCAACCAAATGTTATGAAACTTATACACAATGCTTATTACCACAAGACACAGATTAAGTTTGAATTTTGGTGGCGTCACTTTTACCGTTCTAGTGTTATGCCCCTTTACAAATGGAAAAATTGCTGAATTTTCTTCGTTTTCGTTCTTTAACTTAAGTTTGCCTCAACCAAATGTCATGAAACTTATACAAAATGCTTATTACCACAAAACACAGACTAAGTTTGAGTTTTGGTGGTGTCACTTTTACCATTCTAGAGTTATGCCCCTTTACAAATGAAAAAAATGCTGAATTTTTATTTCCGTTCTCTAACTTGAGTTTGCCTCAACCAAATGTCATGAAACGTATAACACAGATGAAGTTTGAATTTTGGTGGCATCACTTTTACCGTTCTAGAGTTATGCCCATTTACAAATGGAATAATTGTTGAATTTTTTGTTTCTGTTGTCTAACTTTAGTTTGCCTCAACCAAATGTTACGAAACTTATACACAATGCTTATAATCAGAAAACTCAGATCAAGTACAAATTTGGGTAGTGTCACTTTTACCGTTCTTGAGTTATGTACCTTTATACCGTTATATGCAAGCGGGGGCACCATTTGTGTCCCATGGACACATTCCCTATTTATTTTTCCCAAATAGGACAGTTTTCTAAACAACTTGGTTTTGACTTTTGTACTGTGAAATAAAATAAAGAATATAGTTGAGTACCAGTTAAGGAAGGACAATAAAAAAAAATAGGTCAAAAGAAAAATGTGTTGTGTTTAAGGGACTCAACAGACTGTTTTCTTTAACAACTCTGTCCTGTTACAACATATTTATTTTTAAGCCCCAGCTGTAGTGGAGGGGGCATTAAGTTTTACCCTTGTCCGTCCATACTTACGTACGTCCAAAAGTTGGTTTCCGTTCTCTAACTTTAGTTTGCCTCAACCAAATGTTATGAAACTTATAGAAAATGCTTATTACCACAAAACACAGATCAAGTTTGAATTTTGGTGGCGTCACTTAAACCGTTCTAGAGTAATCGCCCCTTTACGTATGGAAAAATTGCTGAATTTTTTATTCCGTTCTCTAACTTTAGTTTGCCTCAACCAAATGTTATGAAACTTATACACAATGCTTATTACCACAAAACACAGATCAAGTTTGAATTTTGGTGGTGTCACTTCAACCGTTCTAGAGTTATGCCCCTTTACAATGGAAAAATTGCTGAATTTTTTATTCCGTTCTCTAACTTTAGTTTGCCTCAACCAAATGTTATGAAACTTATAGAAAATGCTTATTACCACAAAACACAGATCAAGTTTGAATTTTGGTGGCGTCACTTAAACCATTCTAGAGTAATCGCCCCTTTAACCGTTCTAGAGTAATCGCCCCTTTACAAATGGAAAAATTGCTGAATTTTTCGTTTCTGTTCTCTAACTTTAGTTTGCCTCAACCAAATGTTATGAAACTTATACACAATGCTTATTACCACAAAATACAGATCAAGTTTGAATTTTGGTGGTGTCACTTCAACCGTTCTAGAGTTATGCCCCTTTACAATGGAAAAATTGCTGAATTTTTTGTTTCCGTTCTTTTACTTAAGTTAGCCTCAACTAAATGCTATGAAACTTTTACACAATGATTATTACCACAAAATACCGATTTGAATTTTGGTGGTGTCACTTTAACTGTTCTAGAGTTATGCCCCTTCACAAATGGGAAAATTGCTGATTTTTTTGTTTCCGTTCTTTTACTAAAGTTAGCCTCAACCAAATGCTATGAAACTTATACACAATTCGTATTACTACAAAATACAGATCAAGTTTGAATTTTGGTGGTGTCAATTTTACGGTTCTAGAGTTATGCCCCTTTACAAAGGGAAAAATTACTGAATTTTTCGTTTCCGTCCTCTAACTTAAGTTTGCCTCAACCAAATGTTATGAAACTTATACACAATACTTATCACCACAAAACTCAGATCAAGTACAAATTTGGGTAGAGTCACTCTGACCGTTCTTTTATTTGTTTTTGTCCATTACAACTCAACCAAATATTCAGTCTTTTTTTCAAATTTTCATTAGCATTATTGTTGATACACATCTCCATTGGGTGTGTCCAATGTATAGTTTCATCATATTCTGACAAGGTAAAATAACTGTCTTCAGACAATCATAACTTTTGATCCACTTGATGTATATCAATGATACTTGGCATGAGTGTTACTCATTACAAGATGTTAAGAAAACCTTTATCATTAAAATCTTGTAAGGTATTCATGTAATAACAAGTACATAACTTGATGGAAGATTTTTGTTCTCAGTAATACTTGTATTAAGAATCTTTGGTATTATGAACATTGTCAAAAGCTGTGTGTGTGTGAGGAATAAATTTGTGAAAATTCACTATCATACTGCTTCAAATCATATCAGAGCTATTGAAATTTGTGTAGGGTTTGTTGTACCCTGTTACTGATACAACATTTTTCTCATTTAAGTACTTTATATATTACTCCAGATTTCCACTGGTCCCCATCAGAATTTGCTGATCAGCTTCAATAGATTTCAACAATTTTCAACAGCTCTTTACTTCCATCATAAATTTGTTCCTAAAGTTAGTTCATTAGTTTTGTGTGTATGTATTACATGTAAATTGTTGTCTTTCAAGCAGCATTGATTTGAGGTAACATATCAGTGTATAAATTTTATCATCTGTTAGACAGTTCATCTCTAGCTGTCAGATGCTTTTTTTTGTTGATGTTCTGCTTTGTACCATTTCTACGTGGCATTCAATGAGTTTAACATAGAAGAACCATTTTGGTTTTTTTTTGGCCTAACCATTAAGTTTTATAAATTTGTATAGAGTTTGAAAGATGAATGCATTCAGCAATACTTAACTAATATAGTTCAAGTAGTTAGGAAGTAATTGAGATTTAAAAGCATAAAAAGTTAGATGTGAATATTTTTTTTCTTCAAAAAATAGGACCAGTGTATCAGACAGAGATCATCTAACTGTCACTGCTAGGTTCAATTGCACACATCATACATTACTAGTATCATATAAAATTACTGTAATGAAGTATAAAAAATATTTTAGCTGTTACATTTATTGTATGAAGTTAAAAGTTAAAAGATTTATTATCTGTTTATAATGTGAAGGAAATAGGGAAAAAGAAGAGAGCATTTTAAAATTACCTGTTTAAAAAAACATAAAAGTCCATTAGACTCTGAACACTTTTTCAAAAGGTCTGTTAGAAAAAAAAATTTCACCTGGGCTTGCCCCCTTTTCAACTGTAAATACTTCATTTTGAATCAACTGCCATGTTTAACAAACACCCAATGGGGAAATTTTTGAACATTGTTGATTGTTAAGGATAGACATAGACTTACATGTTCTACTCAATAATCAATACCATATAGTTTCTAACTACTAATATGTAATATGTATCAGATGAAATCTTTTATTAACTAAGCTGCTGCTTCTGTGTTTCAATCAGACCTTTATTTCTTAATGTTTTACCAATGTTTGCTTTAATTCTACATCATACTTTAAATTGTCTTATTTCTATTGATTGTCATTGGCTACTGTATTCTCTGCCAGCTTCTATTAAATGTTGTTTTATTTGTTTCCTGATGGAGAAGCCAACCAGGAAGTAAAGTTTGTTATTTCAGAATCAAATGAATTGGTTAATTATCCAGGGTGTCTAATCAGTAGGAAGTATACCAAAGGGGGATTTAAAAGAAATATCATGTATCATGATGTTTTAATTTCATTTTGATGTCTGAGCAATGAAAGAACAATCATATCAATAGCTATTGTGTTAATTTACTCTCTATGCCACAATAAAAAATCATTATTTTAAATTAGGTTGAGATTCTTTTGTTTCTTGCCATAATTTAATCTAAAAAATTCTACTTGTAAAATGAAATAAGTACATTGTAGCTAGATATCACTTCAATACTCAATTGATAGGGGGTGCCACTGGGGTTCTGTTACCCCACCCTTTTCATATAATTCAGATTTTAAAAATGTATACCTTTTCAAATATTGTGTAGGTAAAAATGTAACCTTTTCCCATATTGGTTAGGTTTCTGGGTCCAGGAGCGAACTAGAATCATATTCTGGCAAAATCGAGACAATATCACCTTTGTTCAGAGCTCAGATCTGAGTCTCAGATTCCTTATTAATGTTTACTTACAGCGAAACTTTCGGCTGTGAAGAAATTACAGGGCTTTTCATATAAGTAATGGGAACTTTATTGACCTTATTATATATTTCTGATAGTTTTCCCTACCTATTCACATATTTGCAAGCTGGATATTGTGACCTATTCCAGCAGCACATCCTATCACCTTGTATATAGGAAGTGCCTCCTCACCCCCCGAGTGAAGAAAAACTTGTGTGTGTGGGGTGGGGGTTAATTTTCGTTTATTTCAGCATCACTTAAAATTCTCCAAATATCCCCCTCATCAATAGTTTCAGAATTAGTTTCTTATTGTTGGAAGCACAGATTTAACTCCTGCACAAAATGTCTATAATGAATATTTTTTAAACATATGAATAGATATGGGGTATACATCAATGAGACAGCTACCCAAAAACAAAAAAGATATCTGGAGGTCAACATACAATATCAAAATTTC